CATGCCAACATCAAAGATAGCATTTAATAGTTACTTTATAATGAACTAAGAAAAATGCTAGGAACCCCAAATATTTTACTAACATTTTTACCAAATGTCTCACTTCCGATATATCCCCTACAAGAACATCAAAACCTGGAGATGATTCTAACCAGTCTTCTCGCTCAATAGGACCATCCACTTGCTCCTCCGAGCTCTGATCAGTGCAGACAAGAGATCTGCTTTGAATTAAACCCTTCTCCAGAAGCAATGTGTCTGACCTAACTGAAGTTTCTTCACAATCGGATGTTGATAGATGAGGAGAAGCACTTTGATCTTTGACATTATTAAGAGCTGATTGAACGTCCTCTTTAAGCGTACTCTGTATTTCAGCTTCTCTCTTAGGAGCAGCTTCAGATGGAATTGGAAATGTTTCGATTGGTGCAGATCCTGCATCACTTCTAGCAGATGCCTTATTTTCCAAGGGAAGTGCACCAGTGACTTCAGAAGATTTCCAAGCAGGTGTACCATCTTCATTGGGTCCGTGTAGAAAAGAGCATCTATCGCCTTTATTGCAAAACCCATTGAAATAAAAATAACAGGGTGCGTTGACCTTGTTTGTGGGTGCAGAGCACTGAGATTGTGGAGGAGCAGATTTGGATGACACCTCGGTATGTGTATCTAATGGCTTTTAAAGAAGCAAGAATAAGGTCAGATTACATTCTGTAACATTTGAAAAATGACTATAAGACAAAAAGATTAAACATTACAAAACACAAGCAATATAGATTTAGTAATGTACTTATAAAAAAAAAAAAAGAATTATTAACGTACAAATAAGTGGAAGATATATCACTGAGTTTCAAGAATCAAGACAAGCGAGTAAATTAAATGGGAGAGAGAGGCAATTAATGCCATAGACTTGATGCTGATTTAGAAGAATTTTAAGGTTTAGCCCACTGTAAGCTGAGTTTCTGTGGTTTCAACTCCCATTTTGTCAAGCCAAGTGAGACCATGGTCTTGTATGAATCACAGATACTTGCTGACATTCAACATGAGAAATCAATTCTTTCTCAGTCTCCAACATAGCTGCAAAAGGAAAGAGAGAATCCCTGGAGAATGGAAGGTTCCAAAGCATGCGTCATTTCAAAAGAATAGCAACAAAACTTCACCTTACTTGAACACTTCTGGTTTGAATTCTTTCATTCTTCCGGATGAATGAAAGAAAGGACCAAAACTCCCACTTCACAGTGAATGAGAAGATGACTCACTGCTTCCTTGTCAGGTTTACACATAAAACACCAATTCATATGCACTTGCCTTCTAATCAAACTATGAGTAGTTAGCATCTTGCAATGTGCCGTACACCAACAAAGAAAACCACCTTGAGAAGCAGCCTTAGTATGCCAAACCCTTCTCTAAGGAAAGAGAGTCCCCCATGACCCACAATGATCTAATAATAAGATTTCGCACTAAACTAGCCAGAAGAACAACTCCATCAGGCTGAATCCCCTCCACCACCAATGCTTATTTACAATAAACATTGCACCATTGTCATTGTCCAAAAGGGGGCAAAAAGTATAACAAAAAATGATATGAAAGCAAAAATATAAAATCTTACGTATTTATATTCAATTTCTTGACTATGATTGAGACTAATCTATTTATTTGGGGGACTTTGATAGGATATGTCAACAACATACAAAAATATAGTGGGTTTCATTAGATCAAAGGATTAATATTGCATCTTTAACAAATCAAGCACAATTGAAAGTGACGCATGCCTTTCTGCGTCTTGCACCTTAGAAGCACTTTATTAAAGTCACCTCGCCTCAGGGGTGTTGAAACACTCATATGTGCTTCGTGCTTTAAGCACACGCCTCAGTGCATTTTGACACCACTAAGTATAGGTCTTAGATTTCACTTGTTGAACATCAGTCCGACATAAACAAAATATTGAAGTTCATAACCTTTCAAGTATAGGTCTTAGATTTCACTTTTCAAAGTTGAAAATCTACACACATGCCAACATCATAGATAGTGTTATACACCAACAAAGACATGTTGAACACCAGTCAGTCATAAGCAAAATATTGAAGTTCATAACCTTTCAAAATATTGAATCTACTTAATTTGACTAATGAAATGGCCTTTGATAGGGCCGCGTGGAGAAGAAGGATTCATGTAGCCGACCCCATTTGATGGAACTTAAGGCTTCGTTTGGTTTGGTTTGGTTTGGTATAACCTTTCAAGTATAGATCTTAGATTTCACTTTCCAAAGTTGAACATCTATACACATGCCAACATCAAAGATAGCATTTAATAGTTACTTTATAATAAACTAAGAAAAATGCTAGGAACCCCAAATATTTTACTAACATTTTTACCAAATGTCTCACATGGGTGTACGGTGTGGAGCCCACACCATGTGGGTCATACACCCATTTGAGACATTTAGTAGTAAAAATTTTGGTAAAACATTTGAGATCCCTAGCAATATTCGTAAACTAAAGAAAGAATAGTTTTATGCCTATATCAAGGCTCTCTATAGCTTGGTGCAATGGTAAAAGAATGGACTATCAAGCATGAAATGCAAGTTGATTTTGGGGTAAGACATAGCTTCAGGATAGATGTCTAAACAACACAAATCATTCAGGACATGGCTATGACACAATATGTGAACACACCAAAATGACAATTTTCAAATAAATTAGTACACAACACATCTAAGAGACAACAATTACTAAATAGAAATTTTTAAATGTCTACATAAGAATAACAATTATAAATTATTGCTTTATTCTTTACATTAAAAATATATTTATATTTTATTAGACCAAAACAGTAACGCAAACAAAATATCTTAATATCTATTTAGAAAGCTCTATTCATAAGCAAAAATAAAGTTTTGGACATTAGAATCCCTAAAATTAAAAAGTATAAAATTTACACATTCAACTTCACATAGTCATCTCAATCACACTCATTTTACTTGCGCCTAGTTTCAATTAAAACTCACACATGATGCCGTAGACTTAGAGACAGCATCTCATATGGGGGGAGAGTTTTTCCTCTACTTATTTCATTCCAAGAGATTCAGAGAAGACAAATAATTAATGAAATTTGATGAATGCAAATCAACATTTCTACAGAAAAGAACACAATCCACAGGTGAGAAGTGCTTACAGGATGTCTAAAAGCACAAGAGGGATTAAAACAGCTCCCTGCCAACCAGTAACAGCAATCTCTCGGGTTAAGCCTCGCAATCTCACTATGTCGATACTCGCATTCAATCCCCTGCAAAGGCAAAGATTTCACATGTAAAACTTGTAACTTATTCGAGCTTTAAGCTCTCGATATTCAAAAGTAAAGAACTAAATTAAAAATCTATGTTAACAAACACAGATACATAAGAGACTTACATACATACGCATTGGTACTAAAAAAAAACTAGTAGTTTTTGTTGCTTCTAAGTATATGGATCTATTACATTTGATACTAATCGAAACAATTTAACGACCAATAATCAGAAGAAGGAACTAAAACAAGAAAAAGAAAGGCAATAAACAGCTAAATTTTGGGGAAAAAATCTCAATTCTGCGATATCAGCTGAAAGAACCCTAACACAAATATTGACGGATAGCAAAATGAAAATACGAAAAGCATTCGTGACATGAGCATAAGAAAGAAAAACCCTAGATTGCCACAACAGAAGTGATAGAATCGAATCAAAATTCGCAACATTGAAAACAAAAAACAAATGGAGAGAAATGATGGAGAGTGTGAAAAACCTTCTTGCAGGTGAGAGGAGAGGCCAAGAAGTAGACGCAGTCGGTGTTTCGCTTCTGTAATTCTTCTTCGTCCATTTCTAGAGATAGAGACTATGCAGAGTGAGAGAGAGTGTGTTGATTTGGTTTTTGGGGGGTTTTATTGCAAGTTTCAGGATTTTTGAATTGTGTGTATTTTGCAGTGAAGCCGCTGAACTTTTCCGTATTTCTGTATGTCTCCGGTACATTTGTGTTTTTATTACTTATTGTTCATGTATTATGCTATATTTGGATCTTAAATTAAAAAATCATTTTTACATATTTATTTATTTTTGTTCATGATCAGTAAAAAGAAAAAGAATTTCTTACAATTATCTATTCTTATTTTTACCTAAATCAACCAAACAAAGGGAGAACAAACATAAAACTTACTTCACTAATTTTTATTTATATACTGCATCTTTTTCTCTTCCTTTTTTTTTCCTCGTAAATTTATGATCTAAATACAATATTAATATTTGAGAATTATGTTTGAAAAACTCAACAACAAATAAGTGGGTCTTTTTTCTTCTTCTTTTTTTTTTAAATAAAGCTTGCCAATTTTCATGGTCCTGTTTGGTTGTTGGAAATGTTATGTAGAAAAGTGGCTTCGAGAAGAATAGAAAACATAATGCTAGTAGGCTTTAAATGTAAGAAATGGAACTGTTTGGTTTTAAAGCTTAAAGTTTTTTTTTTAGGAAAATGAGTGACCCCTTTTTGGAGGACCCACAACTCCCATAGTGATCCACACAATTCATGATATCCATACACAATTCATGATATGTGAAACCCACTTATGTACATGTGAAGTCCACATCATAAATGGTGTGGATCACTACTAGAGTTGTGAGAATCTTTCAAAAAAAGAGTCTCTATCCTTACTCTTTTTTTTAATAATTTTTTTTTCATGTTTCAATCAAATTTTTATACTTTTTAAATTTATTTAATCTTGATGTACATTAAAAAAAAATTAAAAACTTTTAAAGTAATTTTAAAGAAATTCCCAAAATACAAAAAAAAATATATATATATATACATTTCGTATTTTGTAATTTTGTTACAAATATTTTACTTTTTGAGTATATTTAGATTAAGTACATTAAAAAATATAAAAATAAATTAATCAAAAAAAAAATACAGAAGAAAAAACCTCAAAAACCCATTTTCCAAATCTAAATAAATAGATAATATTTTTTTGGCTGATAACTCCAAAAATATTCCAAAAAAACTTTTTTTTGGGTAAGTACCAAAAAAACTTTTACTTAAACTTAACTGCGGTTTCATCAGCAATGCTGGCTCATGAAGATGCTATTTTAACAGAAGACAGTTCATAAAAACCCTAGAAAATGAGAACACTCGGGGCACATCGGGATGACACGTGTCCTCAATGAAGCTGTATGTATGTATTGCTTCAAAATTCACTTTTTCTAACAAATTTGGGTTAAAACGTAGTAAACCAATACTGATTTTCTCCAAGTCCATCAAAATTTGTAAACCATTTGTTCTGTATATCCAAGTTCCTTGAGTAAGCCAGAGACCTGCAACAAAGCAAAATCGAAAGGAAATGCCTTAAGAGGAAACTAACATATGGGTTTCGATCAATATCAACACATGAAACGCAAAACGCTTTTTCATACCTCGCCTTGTGAATAGTCTTTCGCCTTGTCACCAGATATATGGTTCATCATTCCAGGGGGGCCGCATACCTGAACAAGCAACAGAAACCGACTTGAGTAATTGGAACCAGTTATGAAAATAACACAATAAAAAAATTTGAGCACAACCAATCTTAAACTATATGCCATGCTTGTCGAATGCAGTGCACATAAAGACTAGAATTTTTGGTTTGGTTAGTCTGCTTTTAAGCGATTACTTATATGCCGGTAACCTTTTAGATGTATTTTGAACAGCACAATATCCCAAACCTTTGAATAAATTTTAAGTTAAAAACATTTTTTTGTTTCACCTGTTCTCCTTATTTTATACAATTTTTGTACCTCAAATTGCACCTCAAATTGCAGAAGCGGTTTCTATATAATGCAGCTTTAGAGCAGAATATAGGAATAGGGAAGCATTTAAGTCGGCTTATGTTAACGCTGTGTTTGGTTGAGAGATTTGGAAAAAGATTTGGAAAGACAAAGGAAAAATGTAGGTGGAATGTGAATAAAATATACCTACATTTCACTTACTTTCACACTTTTTCTCTTTCACTTTCTAAATCCCTTACCAAATCCCCTAACCAAACACAGCGTAAGTGCTTTAAGGCTGTGTTTGGATTTTGAATTTGAGTAGGCAGTTTTTTAAGGGAAAGGAAAAAGAAGAAAAGTGAAAAAAAATAAAGCTAAATGTAACAAAAAAAAAGGGGACAAACTTACGAGGATAAGAGTATCATCGCTAGGACCAGGTAAGCCTTTGATGGCCATATCCTTCGATATGTAACCTGTGCCTCCATTCCAATTGTTTGATGGTTTATCAACGGTGTAGAATATCTGCAATTTCGCATCAGAACATAGGGTTTCCAGTTCAGAAAAAAGTCCAATGTTAGGAAATAAGACAAGTTTAATACTGAAACAGTTGGTACCTTCAAATTTGGGTGGCTAGCAGCAAGCACGTCAAGCTTCTGTTTGAGCAGTATGTCATCAGGGGAAACATTGGCGTAGAGCAAAGAAACCTGGATGGAAAAAGTCATCATCAAGCCATAAAATTAAACTTATTGAGACAGAACTCATCATGAATTATTCAATAACATTTCACCTACAAATTAATAATACGAAAATGTATTGAGATTGGCTAATGCATAACATGTGCACCAAATCTCCACATATTTCCAATTATGACCAGACCTTCGGGTCATAGCTATGATAAAATTGACTGGAACAATCTAGAGATCGAGAATTACATGCAAAATATAAAGAGATAATAGGTTACCTGTGTGTTGTCCTCGGGGTTTTTTAAAATAGCCTCAATTACCTGAAGCATTGGAGTAATGCCTGTTCCACCCGCAATCTGAGTGAAAAGTATACGTTCACATTTCAGATAAAGTAACCATACATATGCATTAAACTTTCACAATTACAGTGGACAAATCAAAAATATATACATCAAACATAGGGACATCAAATAATATAAAACATTTATATTAGAAAGCAATGATAACAAAGGGGATGAGAAAAGAACTAACCACCCAAATTTCCTACTATCTTCCTAAATATAACACTCTACTACGCTGACTAATAACCTTCAATTACGTGTAGTTGTATTCACATATAACCTTTGATAGTGCGGAATGGAGAAAAAAGATTCATGTAGCCAATTCCACTTGATTGTTGACACAAGGCTTAGGCCTAGGCCTTGTTTGGCAACCTTGGTTTTTAGCTAAAAAATCAAATAGCCACTACAAGTTATCAAATCATTCTCTTTACTTTTCTGCACTTTTTTTGTAAAAAGCTAAAAAACCACTATCAATTCCTAAACACCCCCTTAGTTTAGTTTGGTTTGGTTTGACATTAAACAATGGAGGTGTTAACCAGAGAGCTGAAGAAAGGCATTTTTTGGAAGTTTGGAAGCATAACTTTTTTCTAAGGGTGCATTTTGGCAGCGGCTTTTTTTTTTTGGATAGTGCAACTGCCATAGGAACAGAGCACTAGAAAACCTGAGGTTTATAAGGGCTCTGTGAGAAAAGTTGCAGAGGAAGGTTTGCACCTGAAATGATATTTCACCCCTCGCAGAAAATCCAAGTTGTTATATGTAGAGTAAATTACATGGCTGTTGGGAATAAGTATTCTAAAGATCCATCCCTAAATTTGAGCATTTTTTAGTTGCAATGTCTTCCAAAAGTTCAAATATAAGGCATATCCTCTAGATTGTTTTCTTTCCTTTTTTTGAGTAAAAATTAGTACTGAAGTAACCTCCATTGTCAGAAGAAATTGAGTTCACAAGCATTTAGTACCAAATAAAATAAATATATCTGGGGGCTCTATCTGTCACTTAGAAACTTTAGGGATGGCAAATTGAAGATGATGTCTATGTATTTTTTAAAGCATCATTGATTCTCCCAAGTGCTTAAACTAATTTAAATTCATATGCGATCAAGCACTGCTAAATGTAATTCATAAAACTGCAGTAGTTACGTATAAAGATGAAGCATGTCATCAGTAGGATAACTTCATAAATCCAATAGAAAAGACTAAGGCCAAGTTTGGCAACTCTTGAAAAATCTAAAAAGTTAAAAAATTATCAAAAAAGTTAAAAAGTTATCACTATTCATCAAAAAAAATTATTAAAAAAATAATATACAAATATTAATTTAAATGGTAAATTAATATAAAAGTTCAATCCGACCAACCCATCAACGTACGGACACGTCAGCCACCTGCAATTGAAGGAAAACAAAAAATAATAACATGCGTACATTCACTTATTTGCACGGTAAAGTTGGGCCTGTGGAGGCCCATCATGGGTTTCGTTTTGATAATCCGAACCGTTCAATATATAGAACTCGTCTAATACTATATGTTTGTAAAAAATCACGTCTATCGGATATCGCTAATTATATGATCAAATCAGTTTTGTATAAAAATTGAATAGTATTATAGTTAACAGTTGACAAAGAAAACTAACACGATCAGATAGTTATCGATATCCAATCAACGTGATTTTTTACAAACATATAGTACTCGATGAGTTCTACACATTGAACGGTTCCGATTAAAAAAAAGGGACTCGTGGTAGGCTCCCACGGGCCAAACAACACCATCCAATCAAAGCCTAAGAAGTAGACAATATTTTCTCATCTACTCAAACAGCCGGTCACCACTGTCATTTCGTACGGCTCCTACCCTATCTTCTCCTACACACTTATTTATACAATTTTTTAATACACATTTTTTCATAAAAAGTCAAAAAGTTAACCCAAACACCATTATTTTTTTCGCTCACATCTTTTAGGTCTAAAAAGACAAAAAACTGGCACTGAATTTTAGGACACCCCCAAGTACAATACCTATTCTCGAGCTTAAAATCCTACAAAACCAGATTACAAATTTCATTCGATTTGTTTCTTGCCCGAACGTTTTCACTGTTTTTCTTGCCTTGGATATTTGAACAAGTTAATGCCAACTGAACATAAACTTTCAAGGAAGGATTAACTCGCATTAGTTTCTAGGTATAATATTATTGAAACATTTAGAACAATATTATGAATCTATATATTTTTTGAAAACCTTGAACATTCTTTCAAAACCTACACACTTTTGCAAGTCTTCTTTTTTTTTTTTCTTTTTCCCCCTATGGAACTCCTTGTTTGTTGGAAAGGGTGAGGAGGAGGAAAAAGAAAAAAATGCTACTCAAATGATTAGTAATTTAAAAAATACATAAACCTATGCTCTTCCACGAAGGTGTTCTACAAAATTCCGACCTGAAACTTCTAGATTCCTTGGAAATTTAATTAAGAATTTCTGTCGCATTTTATGACTTAAGGCATGCTTTTCAAAAAAAAGAGTGATGGCATGCATGGATGGAGTACGCAGATAAGAATAGCCTCTTCAGATATCACATTTAATGCAAATTTGTCTGTATTACTAGTTGAAAGCTAATAGCTCTATCCTTCCTTTTCCTTCGTCTTATATTTTTATTCATTACTGTTAATCTTTTAGTTGGACTTCCTTGAATAGTGATGAAATAAAGTGGACACATTGATGTCCTATCCTTACCATTCCAATGTGTTTCTTCATATTGGGACTATATCTGAGCTTTTCAATAGGCCTGCAAAGAAAAAATGGATCCAATGGTAAGAAGAAATACAGAAAAATACTTGCCTACTGGTTGCTCATGTGTATGTCTACCCTTTCACTTCCACTACATCGCCTGGTTTTAAGCTTGCAAAATGCTGACTCATTTTCCCATCAGGGTACACTCTGCAACAATTTGTCAAGGTAAAAGGCAATAAAATTTCAGAATAGTTGCACATCTATAGAGCAAAGAGCATTTCATACTAAGCAAAAAGTACATGCATACCTTAATCAACAAGTCAAAGTATCCCTTAGAATCAGGATCTGATATAGGAGTATACCTAAAAATGGCACAAACTTGAGAAGATTTTCAACAATTTGACTAGAAGTTAAAATGTAGTAGGTTATAATATGAGAAACAATGTAATTCAAATAAATTATCTACATTCACCAGGAAAATCATTGGGGAAACCATTAAAGTATGTTAAATGAAGTGATAAAATTTAGAAACAATGGATATGCGATTTTAAAAATTGAGATTCTACATGAATCGTCAATAAGAAAGTGTAACTGATAACACCAATTCCCTTAAGAATTAACCCGATCAAGAGAAAAAAAATGGACAAGAAGACTTACGGGGCGAATGACATATTTTTCGTTCCTTCAGCATCTTGTCCTAATGGAGCCCTTCAGCAATAAAAGAAAGGTGGTGAATATGGCTGATATATCCAGTAAATTAATCCAATAGCCACCTTAACTCCAAATTGAAATCTTGGACACAAAAAATATATATTATTAATATTATTTTACAAGTAGTTCCTCTTATTGAGTATAGCCAAACATACCTTGTAATAATGCATGATGCTACATCAAGACCCAAATTGGCAGTGGGATCAAATGAAAACCTAGCATTATGAGGGGAACAACACAGTTAGAGTGAACGAGCTTTTGTCAACCCAAATGTATCGTTACATTCACTGTGATTCTAATGCAAGAGAATTCACCGAGCAGCTCTAACGACAGAAATTCATTGAGCTTTTACCAGCATGCATATGACTCATGACATTGAACTAGAGCATATCATGTAATTTCAACAAATGAATTCATTTCTGTTTTCACTTTGGTAATAATAACGATGCCTTCCTAGCTTATAAAAAAATTATAATGATGCTTATTAAAATCAACATTTTGTATGTTTTAAGTGTTATGCAATGCACGCAGCATAAATAAATAATTCCTAGGGTCATCCAATCCACCTTAATCATTAGATATTTAAGTGGAGCTACTTTTGGAAAGACAAGATTAACTAAAAATTTATTAATTGATGCAATGAACCCTCTCAAAAGAAGATTTAATTGAATCAATCTATTAAATCAGCAATACATATCACTATCGATCATGTTAAAAACTTCTTTATGGTGCTGCCTTGATATGTAGACAGCCAAACCGTTCAACTTCAACGAAATGAAATAAATTAAAGTTCTATGTGGAACTTTGAAAGTTCATTTGTGTCTGTGGTGTGACCAAATTCACTCTTCTGTTTTAATAATCATATAGCCATGATCAGCTGACTAAAAGCATCACTGAAATTTACAGATTAAATAGACAGCTGATAGTGCAGCTGAAAATATGACAAGACTACTTTAAATATAACATGGTTTCATTGATCAACAAGTATGCAAGTAATTTAAAACCAAAATACATCTGAAGATAATGGTGACAAGAGGATGACCTGAATAAGTGAGTGTTGTGGCTGACCTTTGCTCTGTCTTGCAGCTTAAACTCAAGCCACTTATTTGGATTGAGGGCTGGGGAAAAGAAAAAAAAATCATCACTTCAGCTTAGAAATTATAAGCAAAAAAAAAAAAAAAGATGAGTATTTGTGGCGTTTGGCTATACTATATGTTTAACTGTTACCACAAACCCACAGGAAACACGATTTAAACTCATAAAAAAACACCATTGCAACATTCCAAACCCATAACCAAAGACCATGGGCAAACCAACATCAACATCTCTACCTGTAGGTTCAACATCACTACCCCCTTCTAATTAAAACCAAAATTAACATTATTATGGATCTTTTGCACACCCATTAACAAGGTCTCAATAATTATTAATGCATCAATATATGCATGTGTATGTATTGTGTATGTGTACGCATATCAAGAGTTTCGCAAATCATCAACGAGCACTCTCTCTCTCTTCCAATTATTTATTAACCCCCGATCTCAACATTCAGCACGAAATCTCTTGAGCACTTCAGCGGCGGATAGCAGCATGGTCAAAGCACTCTGCTGCGGCAAGCGGCCGGTTCTTATTGCATTTCTAGAAAGAAGGCCTTTCTCACCCATCCCCCTAATAGACTCCACTTCTTTACCTTAACCTTATCTTGAAAAAACAAACTCATTCAACAATATCTTAAGAAATAGTAAGTTTGAGCTAGCTTTCTTCAAGTGAGAGAGAGGATCGAAAAATCTTGCCCCCATACAATGAGTACAATCTCTCTCTCTCCCCCTTAGCTTTGAAATAAAAGGGATATGCTCCCCCCCCCCCCCCCCCCCCACCCCCCACCCCCCACCCCCCCCCCCCCCCCCCCCCCACCCACACACACGGGATAGTGTTCTACTTGGAAAGCTTCCACTCTACCGAGCAGAGCTTTACAAAATCCAACCGAAGCCTGATCCAGCGCTAGCAGGTTGCTGTTAATGCACTGCTGCCACTTCCTTTGCCGCCAGCTTCTTTCAGTTCGAAAGTGTAAATCAAGAGGCTAAACTCGATCTATCTTTCCGGCTTAGCCGAACTCCTTAACTCTTTAACCTTTTTCTTTTATATAATCAAACTGCTGATTCAACTATGAAGTTGGACCAGTGGACATGGCCTGATGGTACAGGTCGTGTGGCTGTGTTTGATCCCCAACGTCCTCTCCCTTTCCCTCAAGGCTAGGCCAGAGTAAGAAATTCCAGTGTAAAAAATAACAATAACAGATCTGAACTCAACTTTCTAGTGTGATCTATTTGCTTGGAATTTTTGTGAGAAAAAAATTTGAACTTACATCTCTTTCTTTCTGCTTTAATCCCAGCCCTTAAAGGAGACTAGCTTCTAAAATTAAACCATTTAGGTAAATAAGATGGAAATTAAATCATTACATTTTATATAGTAGAATTTCTATCTGGTTGGTATATACTGTTAAGTAATCTAAATTGGAAAAAAAATATTGGTGGACTAAAATAGACTATGATCACATCCAAATTCGGTCTTACCAGTTAAATGTACTCATATTGGTCCCACAGTCAATGTCTAACAGATTGCTAATCAAAGACGAGCAATATCAATGTCATGTTTTAAATTTTAATGCATTCAGAGAGAGAGACTCTTACCAACTTTTGGACCCATTTCTTCATTGATTTGATCTAAATAAACCTGTAAATTAGAAAATCAGATTACGTTGAGGTTTTCATTATGAAATTAGAATGAAATAGTTTATCATTAAAAGTAGTTTAATACCAGTGTTCCCAAATTTCTAAAATTCATCTGTTAAATGGGTACAGGAAAGAACAGCTTTGATAGCTGGATACTAGATGAGATAAGAGAACTGCTGCTTCCATTCCGTAAATTAAGAAAACCAAGTTAACCAATGAATCCCAAGCTTCGATCAAGACGAAATCTACATTATAGAGTCTTGATCACTACTGAAACTGGATACATGATTTTGGCATGATGGTATGGTTTTCCCTCTTGTGGAGATGGTCAATGTTCAACTTCTTAGGGTAATTACTGGAGCATTATTGAATATCCCAAAGTCCAATTTCGAAATGCAATTACACTCACTGATGATATGCTTGTGCACATCTAAAAATGGCAACACAATCACATTCCCAACTGCTTCAAACTGCCCAACTATTGATGATGAATATTTTCAATATTAACAGCACTACCAATGAAACCCAAAGTCCACAATCATCAAGAGATATCAATCCACAACACGTTGAACAAACCCATTATTCCAAGCATTCAAAGCCCTTAATACAAACATCTAATTGAGATTAGAAATTACCAAATTCCTAATGTCAATTTCCATAATAACTATAGCATTATTCAGAATTCCTAATGTCAATTTCCATAATAACTATAGCATTATTCAGAATATTCAAAAATCCAATTTCCAAATGCAATTACACTCAAATTCCATATTGCCATAAGCCTTTAACTGATGATTATACACATGTTCACATCCAAATGTACCAACATAATTCAAACTACGCACTTCAATCAGGTAAATTCGAACACTTTTAATACCCCTAATACATAATTCTTAAATTCTATATACATACTCAGGTTTGATGACTTATGATGAATATTTTTTCAATATTAACACTACCAAAAAACCCAAGTCCACAATCATCAACATATTTCAATCCACATACTTTGAGCAAAACCCAACATTCAAAGCCCTCAATACAAACATCTAATTGCAAAGAATTCATTTTCAGAAAACGGCACACTTCATTTCCATAAAGTTAAAATCAAACCAAATGAAATTGAGATTAGAAATTACCAATTTCGGTGAAGAAAAGTAGTAGTAATACGAGATTCCACCAGAAATCGCAGTAATTGCTCCGAAGGGAACTCGAAAACTGGGGAAACTCGATTTGGGTTGGTCACGAAATGCGTGACTGAATGCGATCGGTGCAGCTTTGGCCAGTCTTTTGAAGAACATCGCCATTTTCACCGAAGAGAGAGAGAGAGAGGGAGCAGTGAAATGATGGTTTTGAGAGAGAGATCCTGCACTTCCAGCCTCAAAGGTAGAGTGATCCAGTGGTTTCGCAATTCATGGAAGAGTCGAAGAAGGAATCTGACGACATCGAGACCACCGTAAGGTGCGTGATTCAACAATCAATTAATGCCATGTGGCCAAATTCATCTTAGGCTTTTAGGCTTCTTTTTTTTTTATTTTTTTTTTTTTTTTTTTTTTTGGAACTTTTTGAACCTTTTAGTGGTCGACCGGTTAGGCAAAAAAAATTTTTTTTTTTTTTTTTTTACTGTTTGAACCTTTTTCTTCGAACCGTTTGAACCTTTAGGCGGTCAACCGGTTGGTCAACCGGCTGGTTGACCGGTTGGTCTCTCCCAACGGTTAGGAACAGTGATTTGATAAAATACTTCGCCTGTTCTCATTTTGGTACAAGATTTGCTGAATTCTGGATTTGATATCGATTTGGTGAAACCATTGGAGCTCAAAAAAGTGACTTTTTCATCAAATTTTGAATTTGATATCAGGTTTGCTGAAGCGTTGGAGATGGTCTTAATCACCTCAAAGCTGATCACAGGGTATTTGACGCATCAACATTAAAGTGTGTTTGGTTTTTATTTTTTAAATTTATTTTTTTGGAAATTAAGTTTTTTTATTTTTTGTATTTTTTTTTTGTTTTAGTGAATAATTTTAAAATTTTAAGCAAATTATTTACCTTTTAAGATTCATCTTACTTAGATATATCTAAATAGATAAAATATTCGTGAAAAAATATATTAAAAAATTAATAAATACACAAAATTATAAAAAATATACTGAATTTTTTTTTTTGTGTTTTTGGTATTTAGTGAATTTTTTAAAAAAATTTCACAAATATTATACTTTTTTTAGTGTATTTATATTAGATGGGTCTAAAAATTAAAAAAAAATTGCTTAAAATATTAAAAAAACATTGAAAACAAAAAAATACAAAAAATAAAAGAGCAAAATTTTCTAAAAACCAAAACCAAACAAACTGATTATTTGTTCAAAAAAAAAAAAAAAAACTAATTATTGTCCAATCATGAATCATATTCCACCATGTGGCAAAAAATATTCTGATTAGAGAAAAAAAAATGTCTCAAGAATTTAAAATTTTCTCACAATTCAATCCATAATTTTGTGATTTAATAAATATCATTTTTTATTTGATTATACACTTAATAATATAAGACTCACGACCCTTACCACATATATATTTATAAATGTAAAATATGAGTCTTTAACATTGTTGGACATTAGAGTGAGAGATTATCTTCAGTATTATCCTTCAAATTAGTTAAATATTAATTTAAAATGTCAAAAAAATATTATAAAAAGTCAAAAAAATTTAAAAGTCAATTTTCAAACCAGTCTTAAGCTAAAATTAATAACAACAACTTCTTAAAGTTTAGAAAAATTAAATTTTTAACAAAATCAAAACGACCTTCTTTTAAATTGTAATTCTCAATAATTTGTTAATTATAGAAATAAAAAAATATGTTATTATTTGTTTATTTCTATATCTACACAATTTCTGCATCAGACCTACTTGGTCCTTGTTCTTTCAGATACAAATTTTATCCTTGAAAAATTCAATGTTTTCTTGTGGTAAATATCTCATATATGGGTATTCCTTGAATGCAAGTATTTCAAAACAATTTTCTCATTTTTCTTCTTCTTTAAACTAGTTTGAAAATATTTCATGGCTTCCTCTACTAATATACTTTAGAAAGTCCATTTCGTACCATCATAAACTTTTTTTTTTTTTTTTTCTGGTAAAAAACCTTAAAACAAATTGTTTGGATAACTTCTCCGGAAAAAAACAGCAATTTTAGCAAATTTTAAAAGATAATTTTACCCTCTATCATTAGCTTTTTTTAATTCTAAAAAAAAAAAAACACTAAAAAAGCATTTGTCAAATTCCAACTAAAAGAATTGGAAAAACTCACTACCAGTTATTCCAGAGATTCAAAACAGAAATATTTAAGGGCAAGTACTAGGACTAGCACCACAAAACACAAACTCCACAGTTAAAGTCAAGAATTTTGGATTAAAAATTATTTTATAAAATATAACAAACATGAATGAAACAAGCTGTTGAACATACTCACAAAAATTCCAAACCTTCAAGGATATATTTGCATGTTCATTCGAAACAAGCACACTTCTTATTGAAAACCAAAACATTTCCTTATTAAAATTCTTGTCTACAAACAATTCCAAATCTCAAAACTTAATATGATTAATGAATAGAGGACAATAAAAAGAAAAGAAAAGAACAAAAACCATGCATTCCATCATGTTTTCATCCCTTTGAGATAAATCAAAATGAACTTGCAGGGTACCTTCAAAATTGACAGCAAAATTGCAGAACCCATTGAACATTTCTTAATCTTGTTGGATAAAACGCAAAAGAAACTCCATACGCAAAAGAACTTGAAGTGAATCATAGACTTCTCAGCTCTGTACTTTGTTTGGCAAGCTCAGAGGAGGTGTCAGATCATCGATCCAATCAGCATAAATACGATCGATCTTCTTGGCTCCTTTCCACTTTGGAAAGCATTTCTTACCCTTAACATCTTCCTTTGCAGGAGCACAGACTACTGTCCTGCTAGGAGGTACAACATCATTTGCAGGAACCAAAACGGGTTTTGTTGGAATAGACAATGTATTCACTGCTTCGGCTTCAATGTGGCCACCGGGCGCCTGTAACTCTGTTTGACCAAAAAAAAAAAAAGAAGCAAAAATCAGAAATCACCTTTGGGAAGTATTTTAAGTTCTCAATGAAGAAGACTTTTTTCACCTTTCATTTGTTTTTTCTCATTCGTTACAAAAAGAAACTTCACATAAAGTGGCAGTTTCAATTTAATACATTAATTTTGGAGGTAAAATGGAATCAGAATATAAAAAATAAGTCAAAAGGTTAAAAAACCACTATATCGGCATAAAACAATAAATTTCTACTTCCAAAAACAACTTCTTGCTTTGACAACAAAGCAAATTTCTTCTTTGATTCCTGAAGAGTAAGTAGTAAATTCCAAAAACAGGTGCTTTTGAAGTATCAATTTAACAATACCTTAAATAGCTAGTAGGAGGTACATCAAATTTAATTGGATAAATTATCCAAATATACACAATAATAACAAAGATTGTATTTTCAAGATATTACGAGGTATATTCCAAGCAAGGCTCTGAAAAAATGGATCACCCTTATTCCATATTTGAACAACAAATCAATTTCACAAAGGAACAACAATGCAACTAATAATGAATCAAGCTATGCATTAGTGATAATATATACCTGACAGCCCATGAGCAAAATGGCATCTCTCACCGAAAGGACACTGTCCTGTGGTCTCCCACTTGATACAGAGCTTTGTCTTCCAATAAGTAGGTTTCATATAATCTCGAAAATCATCAGAACTAGCATTAACATGCTTATTAGTATTCACTTCGAATTGATCAGAAACACTCCTATTCCCCACCATAGACCCTGTAGTTCCAATGCTTATTGCAGAACACTCTCTCGGGCTCCCCATCTCAGTCTTGAACTTCTGCTCATGAAGAAAATTGCATTTGTCCCCATAAGGACACTCTTCTCCATTATAAAACCTCTTGCAAATTTTCATCTTATGCACCATTCTCTGATCATTGTTCCAATTTCCCAGCCCTTTGTCCTTGTCACGCGCACCAACAATTTCTTGCCAATTGGGTGGGGGTTCTCGCAAGTCTTCAGGCCCATGTGCAAAGGTACAATGCTCTCCATTCCGACAATTACCCTCCAAAAATTTCAAGCACATACGTGTCTTATAAAAGATATGGCCAGTTCCTCTATTGATTGGAGGGTTTGTCAGATCCATAATCCTCGGATTCATTGGTGGAAAAGGTGTGGAATTTGCTGGGTTGTTTCCAAAATTTCTTGGCTTCTTAAAAAGGGGTCCATGATCAAATTGTGAATGTGAGTCCATGTCTTCATCGTTTAATGGAATTTGAGGCCAAAAGCCAACAATATCACCTTGCGAAAAAGGCGGCACAAAGGGAGGCTGTGGTTGAGGATCAGGAAAACTCATGATTTTGGCTGAAAAGTTGATCAAGATTAAATTTTGGGCAGATAACAATTGTATCAATTGAATACAATACAACCCAATTCACTAATAAGATATAAACTGAAATGGCAATAAAGAATCAACAAACATGATGCACAATTGATTAAAACCCGAATGACAGTATGATCAAGATTACCCAGAAAGTATTTGAACTAAAGTTAATTTAAACATGCGAGAATGAGCGGAGATAAAGATTGAAAAATCAGCAAACCTGAATATATCTGATTGATCAAGAACACCCAGATAGAATTTAAGTTCAAATCTGAATATGATGTTGATTACAGGACTTCCAGAGAACAATCAAGAACACCCAGATTGTAACTTGGGCTAAAACAAAATCTCATCAAAGCAGATCAAAAACCAAAATTGAATTTGTATGTGAATTTGAAAAAAATGATCAAAGTTCAGAACTTTTTATGCAAAACCCTAACAAAAGTTAGAATGAAAAAAATTGTATATATGTGGGTTAGGAGAAACAGAAAGGGAATAGAAACCCTAGCCGCCGTACACAAAGCCCTAGTTGAACAAGGATCAGTAACTTCAAGACCAAAGTGAAGTTACAAAACTCATGAAAACGGCTAAAACCCTAATATATGTAGTGTTTAAGATGTTATTACGGCAGAATATAGGGATTAAGGCCTCGTTGGTTTGGAAAGCCATCCGTTTAGTCAAAAAAAAATTAAAAATTATTAAAAAAATTAAAAAGTCAGCAATTTATATAAAAAATGAAAGGTTTTTTTTTTTTTTTTTACATTTTTTCATAAAAAGTTAAAAAATTATTCTAAATATATTAATTTTTTTTAGCTTATATTTTAGTTAAATAGCTAAAAAATTATTAAATTGACGTGGTCCTAAACGAAGTCTAAGTTTTCAAATTAAGAAAATTGAGTAAATTACATAATTGGACTTGGAAGTTTGGATTTGGAACATCTAAACAATATCAACAACTTT